CCCTCCCTCCCCTCCCCTCCCCTCCCCTCCCTCCCCTCCCTCCCTCCTCATGTCTGTCTTTTAATCCCGTCCATCGGCGGCTGTGGCCGTTCGGTGGATGCCCCTCATCCCCGCTGCAGCAATATTAATATTTTCAGGCCCTCAGGCCAGGGCCAGGCCGGGCCGGGCCCGGCGCCGGATCGGACTGATCGGACTCTCGCCGGCACGTGACTGCGTACTTCAAATTTGACGTTTCAAGTTTCTGGTATCAATCAGCTGCTAGACTGCTGATTCACTTCATTCACTTCATTCTATCTGAGAAGTCTGCAAGGATGATTGAACGAATCAAACCGGGCCGGGCCCGCCGAGGAGTAGGAGCCCCTCATCCCCGCGCACCCAAGGATTTCGATAAGAGGCCATGGCGAGGTTCGGAGGGAAGCCGAGGCAGGGACAGAGGAAGGTGGAACATGGGGGCGGAGCAGGGAGGAGGAGAGGAAGATTATACAGTAGAGCGTTGGGATGAAGAGGAGGGAAGAGAAGGATGTTTGTCTGGTGAAGGAATCAGGAGGAAGAGTGCTGGGTCAGGGCATGCCCGTCATTGGGATCGGAAAGGTGTTACCAAGTGAGAATTCAGATGAAGAGAACAACTTAAGCGATCTATGATGGCATGCGCGATGAATGAAGATCCAACACTCTTATTGACATCGTGCTGACTTCAAGCAGGATACGTCAAGTTCCCTCACGTTCCACTGTGAATGATGCGAGGATTGTTGACCTTGGTCCTTGTGCTGTTTCTCTTGCCTATTGCCATCTGCTTGTTGGATGGGAGACACGTCAGAGTTGTGCCTCATGCTCCAAGATGGAGACGAGGAGGCTCGGGGACTGGCGGGAGTGTGAAGGCGCTTTCGAACCTGCGAGGAGGATCAGAGGGGGAGAGGGGAAGGAGCGGGCGCGTGCGATCAAGGAGGAAGGGAACGAGCTGTGGAAGGAGGGGGAGTACGAACTTGCCGCGCAGAAGTTCACGGAGGCACTCCGTGTGCTGGAGGAGGAGGAATCCTTGGCCTCGTCCACTAGTGAGAGGATCAATTGTATGAACAATCTCGCTGCCTGCAACGTGAAGACGAGGAACTTTTACGAGGCCGTGCGGATATGCTCGGACGTGCTGCAGATGGATCCGCAGAACAGGAAGGCGCGGCTGCGACGAGGAGCAGCGCTGGAGGGGATGAAACTGTACTCCAAGGCTGCAGCAGACATGGTCCTGATCCTGATACAAGACGCCAAGGTCTCTTTCCCTGCTCTTTGTTCTTTCTCCGCTTTCCACGACTCCCTCCTGCTCCTTCTGCTACGTTGTTGCCGCTCTCTGCTATTCTGCTGTTTGTTCCGGAACATTCACCCTCCTGATCCTCAACTTCCTTCTCCACAACTCCTCTCTCCTCTCCTCCTCCCCGTACCTTCTCTCAGCCGTCCTCTCCCACCTTTCTACCTCTCCTCGCTCCTCTGACGTGTCCACAGACTAAGGACGCTGCGGCATGCCTGCAGCGATGCTTGCAGGCAAGGCCTGAAGTTCGCAAGGAGGTGGTGGAAGAGATCTGCGCGAGCATGGGACAACTCGGAGAAGGAGCAGCGACGATGGAGAGGATAAAGTAGGAGGAGGAGGGGAAGGACGGAGGAGGGGACAAGGGGGGACGAAGAACAAGGGATGGGGTGGAGGGAGCAAGGAGGAAGGGGAGGAAGGGGAGGCTACAGCATGACCATCACCGTAACAGGTCAGCTCAAGTAATTAGCGAGACCGTCTTTACGCAGATTCTGAACCTCCCTGCGGTTGAGGCGAAGGAGGAGGGCCCTACGATGGAACCGTCTGCCTTCAGCAAGCTTGCGGACAACCAGGTGGCAGCTCCTGCGGTGACTTGACGATGCTGCTCCTGGTGTCTGCTGGCTGACGAGGAGGCAGGGGGGTGGGCTGAAGCTTCCTTCTGCTGCAGCGTCACAAGAGGGCGACAGGAGCGGGAAGAGTTTCCGCGACGTGCTGCAGGAGCAGCTGAAGACGGCAGGATCCGGGGGGAAGCAGAGCTTGTCTCAGGTAGAGGACCGAGAGTGGGAGCGAGGAAGGGAAGGGGAGGCGGGAAGTGGAAGGAAAGGAGGAGGAGGACGGGTGGAGGGGGAGAAAGGATGGGGTTGTGGGGCGGGAGGAGGAGGGGACGGAGGAATTCGAGGATTTGACACGTGAGAAGCTGGAGGATGCTGAAAAATCTTTGCGGACGCGCATCGAGGTGCTGGAGGAGAGAGTAGCAGAGCTGGACCCCAGCAAACTCTCGTTGAACCCCGAGAAAGCTCGCAAGCAGCTGCAGAGACTGAAGATGAACTCCGTAGAGCTGTCGGAACTTGGTGAGAAAGTCGTGCTCCTGCTCCTGCTCCTGCTCCCGCACCTGCTGCTCCTGCTCCTGCTCCTGCTCCTGCTCCTGCTCCTGCTGCTCCCGCTCCTGCTTCTGCTCCTGCTGCTCCCGCTCCTGCTTCTGCTCCTCTGACACGCAGAGGGCAGGCCTGATGATCATCGTCACACTCGACTCCTTCGCAGCGGATGAAGAGACTCGGGATGCAAGGAAGGCTCTGGTGCAGAGAGTACAAGTGAGCGAAGCCTCTCCTCCCCTCCCCTACTTCTCCTTCTGGCCCTCTGCCTCCTCCTTCCTTGCTTCTTGTCCTTGTCTTGCTCCTCCTCCTCCTTCCCGTCCTTCTCCTCGCCATCCTCTTCCACCTCTTCCTGCTCCTCCTAGTATTGACCTCTGGGCCAGCTGCTTGTCAAGATGTGCGACAAGATCAAGTCGAGGGTGGAGCAGGAGGCCGAGGAATTTGTGGTCAAGGACCCCCCGCATGTCAAAGTCGCAAGAGTCGTCGCCTCGTTCGTTCGCGTCCTCCTTGCTAGGTCCCTCCCTCGTTCTGTTCTTGTCTTCTTCCTCCCCTACTTCTCTCTCCTCTCCCTCTTCTCCCTCCTCTACCTCTTCCTCTACCCCTTCTCCCTCCTCTACCTCTGTCTCTGCCCCTTCTCCCTCCTCTACCTCTTTCTCTGCCCTCTTGTCTCTCGTTCCTCCATGTACCTACCTATCACCCATCCTCCTCCTTTTCCCCTCTCCCCTCTCCCCTCCCCCCCTCCTTCTATCTGGACTTGCTCCTGCTCACCGACGAGGTGCTGACTGCCTGGCAGGAGGAGGGAGCTTCTCGCCCTCTGCTGCGGTCTGGCCTCCATGAAGTTCGTGCAGGCAGAAGGGGGAATCGAACCTGCGAGCTTGAGGATCGAGCATCTCCTCCTGGACGCCCAAGACATCCTCTCGGTTCACGTTGGAAAACTTCAGGTTGCCATCCCCTCTCCTCCTCCTCCTCTGCGTCCTCCTCCGCGTCCTCCTCCGCGTCCTCCTCCGCGTCTTCCTCCTCGTCCTCCTCCTCCTCCTCCTGCCCTCTTCCTCCTCCTGCCCTGCTACTCCTTCTGCCCTGCTACTCCTTCTGCCTCTGCCTCACCCCTGACCCTCCTCCGGCTCCTCCTACCGCTTGTCTCGTCATCTAACACTTTCTTAGAGGAGCTGGTTCCCTACCATGGAGCAATATAAGGCATCTCGGAGTATGGGGGCCAAGTAAGAAATTGCCGCATCCTCCCTCCCCTTCTCCTCCTCCTCCCTCCTCCCTCCGTCCCCTCTCCCTGGTGCTGCTGCTGCTGCTCCTCCTCCTCCTCCCCTTCTCCTCCTCCTCCTCCTCCTTCCTTTCGCCCCCCCCCTCCC